GGGCATGTTAGATTACCTGTGTGGATAGTTTATGGAATTAATGTGCAAATGGGAGAGTCTGAAAATGATGGTTTGAAGGAACGAAGAGTGTATCTAGGAAATGCTCCTCTAGAGTGGGGAAGATAGATGAGCAGCGAATGCCTGTGTATATGAGAGAACTAGGGGGGGAAAAGAGCATGGAGCCTAACTGGGTATGAAAGAGGACAGAAATGTGAGTTTGTGAGAATCTTTGTAGTCATTTGATTCTTAGGTTCTAAGTGAACTTTCTTATACCTCTTGGCATGTCACATTGTTGTTTGTTGGGGATTTATGCTAAAGGACTTTGCCCAGTTCTGGAAGGCACATTCCCTACTTGTCCCTCTGCAGGAGCCTTAGTTCTAGTCCTTCTGCCCTGAAGCCCTTTCCTTTTTTTGAGAGAAAAGTGAACTAAGTAGAGAGTAGCCTGAAGAATTGAGCTACATCTCTTGATTAAGCTCAGATCACATCTTTGAGTATTTCGCACCATCCTTATCACGAAGAAGACGCTTCAGTGGGGCGAAGACACAGGCGAAACGTTTAGAGAAGTCAGGACTGCATGCTGTGGCCTCCGCAGGTGACTGACGCTGAGGCGTGTCCTCTTGGGTGTTGCATGGTCCTGGGCATTGGAATAAAGGAGAACATTGAATGAGGAATTTTCTGGGTCTGTGTCAATTCAACAACTACATGTTGAGTGGATATTACTTGTCAGACATGATCAATTCAGATGACACTTGCTCTCACAGAAATTAAAGTGACTAGGACACTTAAAATTCCATTTACTCCAAACTGTTAGTAAATAGTTATTATATGATATGTTTGTTGGATGTCAATGGGATTGGGCATTTTGCATGTGCTATTTCTGGAGATCTACAATATATGGATTATCAACAACTTAATATCATGTCTGAAAGACAGTGTGCAGGAACTAAACATTGGGTATCAACCCAATTTCCTCATGAAAAAGTGTACAATTTGGAAGTATGTCATGAATATCACAAAAATAACGAAGAGGGTAAGGAACCAGACACAAAGTATATATTGTACACTTATGTTTACCTAAAATTTAAAAACAGGCATACCAATTTAGTGGGTTAAGAGTCAGGTAAATTATAACTCTTTGTATGGTAGAGAGAGTGGAGAACTCAGATTCACATTGATGATTTCAATAAAATGAATGATGGGACAGTGAGTGCAAAGATGTCTGAATGTCAAAGCATGGGCTATGAAAATATATGGATGTGATGGGGTCTTCAACTGGATATCTCTACTTCATCCAAAGTTCAGTTTTGGGGGATACTACCATTTTTGGTGAGTTTTAAGTTGTTGCTGCTTTCACATGTTCCTGATAACATGACATGCCCTTGTCTGGCTCATAGGAACATATTCTTCTATGTTTCTCTGATTAAAACTCTCTTCACTTAGCCCCTCTCCCATTATACCCTAAAAACAGAACACTGTTCTCTAGTGATCTCCTTGGACTTGTTCTATTCCTGTTCAGTGTTTTTCCCTTTGGAATATATTCCTCCCCCTGATGATTACATTAAAGAAGATGCAGAAGCATTTGAGGTTTGTACTGTGCAGCCCTATGTCCACTAAGGAGTAGAACCACTTAGCTCAACTCAGAGTTCTGTCTATATTCTACCCTCCCTTTGTATCCTATTCAGTATTCCCCTCTCCACCTACAGCACCATTTAGATTGTCCTTAGGTGGGATGCAGGATAAATCGTCAGAGGAAGAAGAAGGCGCCCATGCTTTCTGGCCCTCAGTTAGAGCCACTGCCTTATTTCTATGCTGCAAAGCATCTTCTAGTAAATTCAGCTTTGCTGAAAAATTAAACATAATAGAGATGTGGTCCACGTTTCTTATTTGTTAATTTATCTGCCCATTAACCAAACACAAAGGTTCTGCATAGAAAAAGAAACCATCAGTAAAATGAAGAGATATATTCACTCTATTGGAGAATTTATCTGCCAATGATACATCATAAAAGGTTTAGTTTCCAAGATATATAAAGAACTTATAAAACTCAGCACCAGGAGAAGAACCACCCAATTTTAAAAAAGGAAACAAACAATAAACAAACATAGAAGAGTATGTCCCCATGAGCCAGACAAGGGCATGTCATGTTACCGGGAACATATAAAAAAATGCTCAACATTACTAATCATCAGAGAAATGCACAGAGTCACCACAATGAGCCCTGGCTTGTGTGGCTCAGTTGGTTGGATTTGATTTCTGGTTAGTACACATACCCATGTTGTGGGTTTCATGCTGGTTTGAGCTCAAGCAGCAGGCAGTTTATCGATGTTTCCTTTCTCTCTCTCTCTCTCTCTCTCTCTCTCTCTCTCTCTCTCTCTCTCTCTCTCTCTTCCTCTTTTCCTTTGTCTAATAATCAATTTTTAAAAACTACAATGAGGTATCACCTCATACCTGCCATAATGATAACCATTAATAAATCAACAACCAACCAGTGTGGCGAAAAGGGCACCCAGATGCACTATCGTTCACTGCAGCATTATTTACAATAGCCGAGATCTGGAAACATCCCAAGTTCACATCAACAGATGAATTAAAAAACTGTGTGGTACATTTACACAATCCTGCCTACTGAAAGAGTAATATGCAAATTACCCATCATTCTGCTCAAAGCCACACCCACCAGCCATGCCCACACAGCCAATTAGAGCAAGTATGCAAATTAACCCCCACCAAGGTGGCTGCAGCCACAGAGAACAGTTGAGAGGCTTGAGTTTCCCTGGCAACGGAACCCAAGCTTTCCACCTGCCCTGACTTGCCTAGGCCTCCACTCAAGGATACAAATTTCAATTATGAAATCCAAATAGAAATGGCTGCAGCCATGGAGCAAGCAGGAGGCTTGGCTCTGCTCCAAGCTACAAAGTTTCAGTTGTAGAAAGTAAATAAATTCCAGATACCAGGGCCTTCACTTGGGTCGCCAGGGGACCATGGCCAGCTTGCAAACCACCACAGGCCCCTCGCCCAGGCCACCCAACACCCCAAGGGAACCCCCACTCTGAACTGGGACACCTTTCAGGGCAAACCAGCTGTCCCCCACCCATGCACCAGGCCTGTATCCTATTTAATAAAAGAGTAATATGCAGATTGACCATCACTCCAACACACTACATGGCTGCCCCCATGTGGTCAAAGATCCTGCGCCTATATGGACAAAAGAGGCCACCACAAAATGGCCAGCAGGGAAGGGCAGTTGGAGGCGATCAATCCTGTAGGGGTGGCCAGGCCTGCAGAGGAGGGAAGTTGGGGGCAAACAGGCTGGCAGGGGAGTGGTTAGGGGGTGATCAGGCTGGCAGGCAAAAGCAGTAAGGGGCAATTAGGAAAGCAGGCAGGCAAATAGTTGGGAGCAAGTAGTCCTGGATTGTGAGGGGGATGTCCGACTGCCCATTTAGACCCTGTTCCGGTGGGATAGTGTCTAAACAGGCAGCTTAACATCCCTCGAGGGGTCCCAGATTGGAGAGGGTGAAGGCTGGGCTGAGGGACACCTCCCATCCCACCCCGTGCTTATCATATTTTCCCTGGCTTATTTATATTATATGTGTGTGTGTATGTGAAAAGGTGTGAATGTACATTTGCTTGTCTCATAGTTTATGCTCAATAACGTCTCTAAATATGTTCAATTATTTTTTGAAAGTGAAATGAAGTCAGCCTTTTTTAAAAGTCCCCTAGAGAATGCAGAAATCCCAAAGTTGGAAATATCAGTCCTCTTGAGTAATGTGAGCTACCATTAGAACTTTGGGGCTGGCTTCAATCTGTCCCCCTCCCACCCCTGCCCAACGGTTTTTCCATATACTAGTTACTTGTTTACTTGTATCTCCGTAGTAACCAAAATATTCCAGTTTTCCATTTTTCAGAAAGAGCCAAACTTTCTCCTTAACCATCATTGTTAATGGTTGTTTTATTTGTGTGTGTGTGTGTGTGTGTCTGTGTGTGTGTGTGTATCCCATTTTTTCTTATATTTCACATAAGAGGCCCACATTTACATCTTCATAATCTAAAACAAAATTTTTTTTTAACTTCTGTGTAAATAATTTCTATCTGACAGTAAGCTCTCATCACTACACAATGAGTTCAAAGTCCCTCCATCTCCCCCTCTCCATCCCCCCCGCACCTCTAAGAACCAGACTTTGTTCTTTATTAACAGGAGAATATACTATTAGAAAACTACTAACAACATTTACTTTACCAATGCCTTTAGGCAGAAATCAAATACAGGGAAATACATTTTCTAAGAAATATTATACTAATCAACCACTATGTATCTAACAGAGTAACCCAGAGGGAGAAGGTTTAGGTAGCACACGTCCTAAACCACAGTGACAAGGATTCGGGCATCCGAGTTTACTCTCAGACTCCCTGGGCCCTCAACATGTGAACATCTATCTCCGTCTTTCATTGTCTCCCTTCTTCCCTCCCTTCCTTCCTCTCTCCCTCCTTCTTTCCCTCCCTTATTCCTTCCCTCCTTTCCACCACCCACTCTCTCTTCCCCTTCTCTCTCTTCTTTCTCCCCTTCTCTTCACTCTCTCTCTTCTTCTCTCTCCCACCCATCCCTCACTCCCCTTCCTCTTTCTTTCCATCCTCCCTCTTCCTTCCTCACTTGCTCACTCTCTCCCTCCATCATCCAAACTAGGAATTCTCTCTCTCTCTTTCTTTAGAAAACAGTACCTGAATGTGTGTAACACATACCTCTTGACATTCTTGCAGTTTTGTCTTCCAGATGTTTCTGCTTATTTTTATGCTTCATGGTTCAACTCTTTAAAGAGTCAGTGAAATCAGATACCTTTCCCCCCAAACTCTGCTCTCAGTGTGTCAGATGGTGATGACAAAGAATCAAACTAACAAATACAATCAATATGAACAAATCACTATCAATAACAAGACACTGGAGAGTCCTCTCCTCTAACCAACTCACTGTTCTGACCAGGGCAGTTATGATGCGAGTCGTCGCCATGGTGTTAGCAGTGTTCTATGACCAGTGCGTGACATCAGCACACCCCATGCACCCAGCTAGTGTTCACAGGACTGCAGGGCCACCACACACACTGGCCAGAGTGATCCCTTTATCCAATGGAAACACTACATTAACTTGAATTTTTTAAGTTGTTTATTTCATATCAACACTAGAGGTTAGGTGAGTTGAATGAAAAAAAGGCAATGATTTTATGTTTAGGAGAAGCACATTCCTAATACTCTCCAGTGGTGAGGCTAAGGAATACCTTTGAAAATTAGGCTTAGAATCATGCTTACATTTCACATAAGAGGCTCACATTTACATCTTACACAGAAAGTGGTATATATGCAATAATGTCATATATATATGTTATTGGCAGTCCTATTTAACTGGTGTATAAACCTAAGTTATATGTGAGGTATATATTGGTGTATATGTGTGGATTTGAAAATTGCACACAACTCTATATAATTTATCGAGTACCTTCCATTATGGGGAATAGTCTCCTGCATTTTTTCAACAAGCCTTTTTCTCTTTGGCTACACTTTTCCTTATGATGGCCCCAGAGGCTTGGGAAAAGAGGGAGCCTCTGGCCCTTGTCATGAATCCTGTTTCTGTCTAGCCAGAAGGCCTCATTTCTAGGCTTGTTGTAGGCCCCCAGCTATATCTTCTGGAAACTGCTGGGCTCTCAACAGGGTTTGAACTCTATAGGCTTTTTCCATTCTAATACATCCCACCCACCACAGACTATGCCTCCTCCCTTAAGTGCAATATGTATTTACTTCCAAACCTTAGCAGTTACATTGGAGTCTGGCCATGACTTAGCCTTCTCAGTCTTCCTTATGCCCAGTAGGCCCTGCCTCTGGGTCTTTCCTCATGTAACAATGTGTGGGATCCCTTAATGTGACCCTCGTGGTTCAGGGTCCGGTTTCTGGAGAAGGCCGCACTCTAAAATGAAGAGAGAGACTGGAAAAGAGTTAATTTGGGAAAATGGGGGACCAGGCGGTTGTCCAGTGGGAAGACTACCACTAGGCTCCAGCCTTGCTATCCCTTTTATTGAGGTTATGGGATACACCCATTAACCTTAAGCAGATTTGGGAGACACCCATAGCCCTTAGGCAGGTAATAAGTGGATTATCATATCAATAATTATTTACATGATTACAAGATGGGGAAGTTGCCTCAGTTACTATTGTCTCAATTAGATAGGGAGTGGTTGGCTCTGACCTTTCAGAGCTTTAAGGTTGACCAGCCTTTTACATCTTTCTATTAGTGAGACAGTGATTGGTTTCCAGCAAAGATGGGCAGTATTTTCCAATGCTATCACCAGCGCACTAGTGTAAATAGTGGTGGAAAGAGACTGCACTTGGGTGGTGAACACAGTAGAGATGATGTGTTATGGAATTGTACCCTTAAAACTTATATTTTGCAACCAATATAACTCCTGTAATCTCAATACAAATAAACTTTAAAACAATAGATATCATTAAAAATTACATTTTCAAAGTACTTTGTTACTTCAGGCTCTTCTACTTTTCTCAGTTTTATTCATTTATAACTTAGCACTGGACTCCGCAGGTGTCTCTTCAGTGTTGTCTTGGCACTAGTTTTCTTTGAGAAGGCGTTTTTACCTTCATGTTTGAATAGCTCTCTATCACCTGAATTATTATTTTTACTTTGTGCTCTTTGGTTCCCATTTGTCTTTTTATTCAAAGTTTCTTGACCTGTATGATACATGTAGAGTTTATAACACTAGAGAATTTAGTGATGTACTTAATAAATAAAGAAGAAGTGAGTAGGGTCAATGAGTGTAAACCCTGGTCATCTGGTGTAGGGTGACCATATTTTGTCTTTCCTCATGATACCTGAGTTTTCTGTAAGAAGTTAATTGCTGTAGTCATCTCTATATGTAATCTAAGATATACTATTGGATCATCTTTTACTACTAATGATATGGCTAAGGTGGACACCCTCATTAAAACACCCATTATTAGGTTTCCTTAAGGAGGACATAGAATTGATAGGGTAGTATAGTAACACTATATAAAATATAATAATTAAAGTGGATGTGCTAACTAGACCAGACGTCCTTCCGGATGACCTTTTGGACAAAGTTGGGTCTTCGAGGAAGCCCGGGTCCCGGGTGTGTGCTCGTGACCAGAAGGAAGCTCAGGTCCTGGGTAGGAGAGGGAAGCTGGTGCCAGCATCCGGGGTAAGGAAGACGAACTCTTGCATGAATTTCGTGCATCAGGCCTCTAGTACTATATAAAACATTTCTTTTTAAGTTAGAGGGTTAGCCCTTTCTGAGAAACAAATGATCCAAAGGACCTGATATAGCCTAGATAATGTAGCTTCCATTCTCATTATTATATTGTTCTTGTGAAGTTGGTGGTGGTATTTACTTTCATCATTTTTTGGCTCTACCATCCAATCATTTTATCTGAGGCTCTTTGGTGCCTTTTCACCAATCCATCCCTTTCCTCTCTACTCCTCGTCAGTGTGTACATGTATGTGATCATCCACTCTTGTGCTGTTGGAGTGAATTATCTCGACCTAAACCCTTGCTGCTTCTTTTTTTTAAATATATATATATTTTTTTTAATTGAATTTTTCACAGAGAGGAAGGGAGTGGGACACAGAGCTAGAAATATCAATGAAAGAGAAACATCGACCAGCTGCTTCCTGCACACCCCCAATCGGGGATGTGCCCGCAACCAATGTACATGCCCTTGACCAGAATCGAATCTGAGACCTTTCAGTCTGCAGACTGATGCTCAGTGAGCCAAACCGGTTTCAGCAAACCCTTACTTCTTGTAGGAGAAAGTGTTGCCAAAGCAGAGTGGCCAAGCTGGGAACTATTCAGGGCATTGTGATGGCTCCTATATTTGAGAGCTAGAGAATGCAATTCTGAAATGGAATGGGAACAATAACCTGGTTAAATAAGGAGAGCTCTATTAAAGAAGAGATAAATGATTCTTCAGGAATAATAGCATATTACATGCTCAAATATTTGTGAGAACACTGTACTTACATTGCATATAAATATATACTCTCTCACCAGAAATGTTGCTTTGAATTTCACTTTGAGGAAGCATTGCATTTTGCTACTCCTTCAAAATTACTGTTTTTATAACTTTCAAACCAATTTCTTACAATTAAAAATATATATAACCTCACATATGATAATAGCATGAATTAATTTATTTAGTGAAAAGGTCTCTGCAGAGTGCCAGGCACTCAATAGGATTTGCTGATTCTATGGAAATGATACAACTTCTACTTTCAAGGAGTTTATTTTGATGAGGAAGACAAACAGGTAAAGACATTATTACAATATGGCCTGTTAAGTGCTCTGATAATATTTTGCACAGTTTTGTGATTCATTTTATTTTAGTTTGTTATGCCCTCTATTCAGTTTCTACACAGTAGTATTGACTTATCTGAATATTAAGGACATATGGATCAATATATATTGTTGGTTAGAGACCTTCTGATTATAATAAACCATTATTGGAGAGGCTGGAACTTGCCCCATTGGATGCCACTGGAGACATTTGATCATGCCTATGATGCTGTCTTAATGTTTCTACTAGAAAGTAAAAGTAAAATCAGAGTATACAGAAATATTGATGCAAGATGGGTAAAGCACATTATAATCAAGATGCTTTTCAAAGACTCAACATTGTTAACATTAATCCTTGAAATAAAATAGAAATGATTGATAAAGCTGGAGTTTGCATTCTTTATTAGTTTATTACCAGGGAAAAAAAGTATAAGAACAAATTACAAATTGTGGAATATATTTACAATTTTCACAACCAAAAGGAATAGCATCAAGCATATTTAAAAAAATAGGTACAAATTGATAAGAAAAAACTACTTAAACAACAAAAAAAAGGGCAAAGTATATGAATAAGAATTTTGCTGAAGAAGAAATATCAATATAAGAAGCAAAGTTATTAGAAATCAGGGAAATTTAAATCAATATCATAATGAGATACCCTCTTACATTATTCAAATTGATAAAAACTATGTGACAATATGAAATGTTAGAGTATATATGACTAAATAGAATCTCTTATTCAGATGCAAATATATTCAAGATAGTTTAGCATTAACTCCTAAGGCTGAACACAGCATATATTATAAGGAAATAGTTCTACTCCTAAATTTATACAGAAGAAACTCTTGCCTTATAATATATGCTGTGTTCAGCCTTAGGAGTTAATGCTAAACTATCTTGAATATATTTGCATCTAAATAAGAGATTCTGTTTGGCATTAACTCCTAAGGCTGACACAGCATATATTATAAGGAAATAGTTCTACTCCTAAATTTATATGGAAGAAACTCTTGCCTATATATTGTACAATAGAAGCCATGTGCAACAATGTTCACAGCAATTTTGTTCACAATAGAAAAACTAATGGGAAACACTTCAAGTGTTCATAACAAGAACACAAATGAACTACGGTGTATTCACACAATGGATTATCATAAAGTGGTAAAAAAATTATGGTAACAATCCCAATATGGGTGAAGCTCAACAAAATAATATTTAATGAACTCCTCCCCAGCTCTGACACAAAGCTTTTAATAAAGTGAACATAACTAAAATTGAAAAAGAAATCAGTTGCATTTTATGCAATAATTAATAACTATATACTTCTTGGGAAATATTCAAATGTATAAAACAATATAAAGAGGGAAGCCTGAATGATGAACACTGACTTTAGAAAGATAATAATATATCAAGTAAGAGAAAACAATGTAATGGGAAAGATAGACAAGAACATACGTTTAGATGTAGAGTAAAATGTCTGGTGAATTCACTTGTACTTGCTGCATGCATGAGAATACTATACTAAATATATACACTATATATAAGGACATCGTGTTGAACCAGCAATGAGTGTGAACTGACTTCTATTAGTAATGCAATTTTATTTTTATGGGAGAATTCCAAGAAATCTTAATTAATGATGATAATTGGGGGAAAATGCAAGTCACCCAAACATGGTTTG